GGGGTGGTACAGTCAAGATCCGATAATTCAGGGTTCAGGATTAGAGCACCTTCTTGGCTGAAGCCGGGCGCATTTTCGAAAGGAAGCTTTCGGATTTTAATCGGGCTCACAATGACTTTTGATGTATGATGTAGACCCCTGAATCTTACTGAACACCCGGGCCTTGTCGGGGGTCCACGTTAAGCCCCTCGAAACTGAAATCCCTGAGTTCTGTGTCAAACTCTCCGAACTGGGGCATATGGAACTAGAGACCAGACATCTCACAGCATCTATTTCCAAGATCTAGGTACCTGCACACCTACGATTTCTTGAGCGCTTCGCTTGTTGTGCATATCTACTCATCATCGTTTGCCCCGAGATAAATCCAAAAAAGCACTGCAGGCCCCGGCTGCATCAATCGAGACGGCTGCACGGTAGACTGAGCCGAATTTGGGGTTTTTAACGGAGTCATTGTGGAGGGGTGCTGGGCCGGAGCTTCTCCATGTTGAAGGCTCACACAACAAACAATCACAAAGATGGCCCGGCACACTCGTCCGCTCACGATAGTCGCCCTAAACCCCTCGTAGATGCCAAGGTAGAGGTAGTACCGCATCAGGCTGGCTTAGGTTCGACTCATGGATGTAGCACGAGGTGGTACTGCTTTCGCTCCAGTAAGGTTGTCCAGGTGGTGATGATGTTTGCTGTTGCCGCTGAGGCCCGTGATGAAGGCGATGAGAAAGTGAGAGCTAGGTATGATGGTGCTGGCAACGACACCGGCGATGATGACGATGACGANNGGCCATGATGATGGTCATGATCATGATCCTAGTAATGATAAGGATGATGATGATGATGATTATGATTACTGTTGTTATTATGATGATGAGGATGGTGAGGAAGAAGATAATGATGATGATCATGATGATGATGATGGTGGTGGTGGTGATGATGATGGACGAGGCTGGCAATGGTGCTTGTGGCAGAAGTCGTCGAACTCCGCACAATTCCTGTTGCAACTATGCAACCGAAGCATTCCAGTTCAGAAGAAGAAGTACTCCAGTAACACGGAGAATATTCTAGTACAATCGGTCCAGGTAGCAGCGGCCATAACATCACAATGAAAAGTATAGCAGTGACTAGTCATGAGAACCGAAATGAAAAACCTAAACCACTAAACCCCGAAACCCTAAACCCCCAAACCCCTAAACCCTAAACCCCTAAACCCGAAACCCCTAATTCCCTAGACCCCTAAACCCCTGAAGCCTGAAAAGATCCTCTCGTCATGCCAAGTGCCCTGCCGCGCTCCTTTGGTTCGGGCGCCTTCAACAGAGTGACTCGCTGCATTGGTGGGCACAACATCTGGGGGATCCTACCACAAGTTAAGGTATATTCCTTAATTAAGGGGATTTGGGAAGGTCTGGAGGGTTCCGGTGCTGAAATCTTCATCTTCCACTGGGAAATTGGCGTGGCAAATGCTGCTCTGCTGTCAGCCACGTCAACGGCCATCCTCGCATGTCCTGTTTCAAGCTTCCGCTTCGCTCATCAGTCGTCGGCAGTGAGACGCTGAATGAGATATGGAAGGTTAATTGGGGCAGAGCCTCCACCATGACCATGACTTACAAATACTGAGCCTCTTGTGGGACTCAGATAAAGAGGCAACTAAACGAAGTTACGGTCACAAAATTGCAGACCGAGCAAACAAATACCGGCCTGCACGGCTCAGATTCTGAGCTTTGCTATGCTATTGCTACACGCTGCTCTCTGCCCTGGCCGCGTCCTTGCCCTCCCTCTGGCCCTGCTTGCTGCCCAAGAGCACCGGTCCGGTGGCGGCCTCCGGATCTGCGGGGGTCGCGTGCGCGTGCTCGATCAGCGTCTGCCGGCGCTTGTAGCCTGGGTGATGCTTCAGGGTGTGGTTTTCGTGGACTGCGTCCAGCATGAGCATGGCCTTGTAGACCAATGCGGCCAGGCATGCTCCGAGGAGCGGGCCGACCCAGAAGATCCACATGCTGCGCCAGTAGCCGGGCCCCGCAGACTCGTCGTCCTCCGCTGCCTTGGGGGCGACCTCCCCCAGCGCGGGCTCGCCGACCATCGTGGCCACGGGTTCCACGGCTTTCGGGGCCTCCACGCGGCTGAGGGCGAGGAGAGCCGGGCCGAAAGAGCGTGTCGGGTTGATGGAGCAGCCGTCGATGGGGATCAGCACACAGTGGGCCATGAAGACGGCGAGGCCAATGGCCAAGCAGGCCTGGCTGCGGTTCATGGCCGACTTTGGATTGCAGGCCGTTTGGAGGACCACGAAGACCAGAAGGAAGGTGCCCACGAGCTCGCCGATCAGTGCATTCCACCAGTTCCATTTCAGACCCACGCTGTTGGCTCCCAAGGTCTTCGTCATGTCCAGCTCCGGGGGGAAGATGGCGCAGAGGATGGCCGCGCCAAGGATGGAGCCCATCATCTGAGAGCCGAAGTTGAAAAGCCCTTGAAGCGCGTGGCAGTTGCCAGTAAGGACCAGGCCAAGGGTGACGGCACAGTTGAGGTGGCCACCGCTGTAGTGTCCGATGGAGTAGGCCAAGGTGGTGATGGAGAGGCCAAAGACCAAGGCCACCATGAGAACCCAGCCAGGAATCATGGAGGTCGTCTCGCCGCTGGTGCTGTCTCCGTCACTACCGCTGCCACCCGAGCTGCCCGAGCCCTGGATGCCCATGGCGCTGCCGCAGCCGATGATAACGAACAGAGTCATGCCGACAAACTCGGCCAAGCACGCGACCAGAGAGACATCTCGGTGGAACACCTTCATCTCCTCGATGTGACACACGGTCGATGGGAAGGGTGGTGTTGCTGTCACTGCTCGAGCAAACGCCAGCTTTGCGGATCATACAATTCCTAAATCCTCAGCTACCACCTCGGCCCCGGCTCACTTGCTGAAGCTCTCTGTAGACCAAATTGTGGTTTTATCTAGCAACTGATATGTTGGCTTACCTCGTACGCACACTATGCATCATTACTGTTGTACTGTATAGGATTACATATAACAAACCCGGCAACCAGAGTTGCAAGATCCCAACACATCCCCCCACGGCCCAAACACGCCTTCGCCCGCTCGGCGGCCCGTCGTTGAACCTGCGTACTGGGAGGTTTCTGGAGAAGCCCGATTGTACTGCCTAGGCTCTTGTCAAGGAAGTTTTTTACCATAAAAACGAAACCCACATCAGGTAGGTACTGTAGATCCTGATATGGTACCGCTATGGCAATCTCCAGTACTTCAGCCGCAAGCTCCCAATCCCGACCCCCGAAAACGACGAACAAGATCCGAACCCGAAGCCCGTCAGAACCCCTCGAAAGGCGTTCGGACCCCCCTGCTGCGATTAGGGTTCCCTAAACCCTAAACCCTAAAACCCTGTCAGGGTTTAGGGTTTTCCTAGGGTTTTCCAGGGTTTCGGGCCCAAAGGGACCTGCCGCTTCCGCATGCTGGTGATCCGGATGAGGCTGAAGGCGCCCGGCGGCAGGCCTGGCGCAGGTAGGCTGAGTAATGTTTAAGGCTTAGTTTAGGGTTTGGTGCTTAGGGTTTAGGGTTTAGGGTTTAGTTTAGGGTTTAGGGCTTCGGGTTTTGGAGTTTCAGGGGGAGGCGCCTGAAGAACTTGAAAGAAGGCTTTTCTATCATGCTACAGCAAGCTTTGGCAAAGCTTTCGGTTTCGGGGCGAAGTCCTTCTGGATAAATGTAAATGCGGCAGCCCGGAGGGAAGAATCATGTGCAAACTAGAACTCCAAAATGCTATACAAACAGGACCAAAGAAGCCCTTGTGTAGTTCGTTCCTTCTTCTACAGGTAGGCCACAGCAACTCATGCAACCCTGAACCCGAAACCCCAATCTAAGCTCACAGCCTTATACCCACGGCCATGAAACTTTCAACCCAAAAGCCCTCAAACCCCTATTCGGGGTCTTTTTAACACTCTCATGGAAAAACGGCAAGAGAAAAAAAAAAAAAAGAGCCCATATAGAGAGCCCCTGGAGAAAACGCCTCGAACACAACATTGACCTCCCTTACGAGAAAAGACATTACAAAAATCCCTTGTATGCCTGATGGCACCAAACTAAAGGAAAAGCGCAGGAAACTGCGAATACTCACACTTTGTTGCGCCTGCGTCCCGTTCCCGTTCCGAGCTTTGCTCGAAGACGTCCGGGCTCCGAGTCTCGGGCGTTGTGGGGCTGTGGGATCAGGTATCGGGTTCAGGGTGTTGGGTCTCTGCAGAAATCAAGGCTTTGGAGGTTGCTTCATGGGATGCTTTAAGGTTTTGTTGCATGTTGATAGGATGTCTTGGGGTTCTGCGGCTTTACGGTTCTGGGATTTGGTGGCTGCGGTTTTGGGGTTGCAGATTCAATGATCCACCTTTGAACAAGGTCTGCTGAAGTAACTAATTGACGATCGAAGCGGAGACACCGCATCCGGCATGCAAGTCAGTAAGCCAGCGTGAAATGGAGTGGCCGGTCCATAGCCAAAAACAGGTTTATGCTGAGCTCAGGGCCTAGATAGTAATTTATTCCGACCCCTATAGTATATGCTGCAACCACGAACCCAACTATTCCTAAACCCTAAACCCCATGGCTTGCAGTACGTTACACCAACCCGTATGGTGCCCTTATAGCAACCCCATGTCATGGAAACCTCAACACTGAACCCTCAACCCTAAACCCTTAACCCCAAAGCCTAAAACCTCACCCTTTGACCTCAAAACCTGAACCCTCCACCTTAAACCCTGTAAACCCTTAAACCCTAAACCCGTAAACCCTCAAGCCAAAATCTTCAGCCTTAAACCCTCACACCCTTGTGGTCTTGAAACTCCAGGCCTGGACTTCGGCATCGCAATGCGACCTGGGTTGAGGGTTGGTTTGGGGTTTGGGGTTTAGGGTTTAGGGTTGAGGGTGTAGGGTTTAGGGTTGAGGGTGTAGGGTTTAGGGTTTAGGGTTGAGGGTTTAGGGTTTCGAGTTACTGTAAGATTCTCGAAAAGCGCTCTGGGGTTTAGGGCTCCTTTAAAGGCGTACGCTAAGGGTTACAATAAGATTCGATATGGGCTTCAATAAGGGCTCTGGTGAAGGGTTTCTATCAGATTCAATAAGATCTCTATAAGCGCTCGGGAACGGGCTTCCGACCGCCTAAGGTTCAGGCAACGCGCGAAAGAAGATGCGAGAGTTTTAGGGTTTAGGGCTTAGGGCTTTTGGTTTAAGGTTTAAGGTAAAACAGAAGCTTGAGCCACTGTGGCCTCCAATCGTTCCGGCCCAGGGACACTCCCGACGCCGGGGCAGTGAGTGGCGCTGGCTGCGCCTGCTGGCAGAAGACGTGTGCACATATCACCAAGACACTGGGACTTAGCAAGTACAGTTATAAGTAGCTGAACTGGGGATATAACTAAATATATCTAGAGTTCCCCGAATTAGAACCCCGGTACAAAGTCGAGGAGGCACCTTGCAAGGATGGGCTGTAGCTGTAGGATGCTGTAAGCAACACCCCTACCTGGAGGTTCATGGGATTTCTTAAATGAGGTAATAAGTACCCAATTGGAGTTATAAGTAATTACAGGTATAGCTACCTTATTCATAACCCTAGTCACTATCCTAAACCCTAAATAACCCTTTAAGGGGAACCCTATTAAAGAGCCTTGTAGCACCCTTAAAACGGACCCTAAACCCCAGTTACTAATTCAAAACACTTTCTGGAGCCTGCTGTTCCTGTGCCGAAGGCACCTCCCGTAGAGGCGGGCCTGTCCATCTGAGAGTGAAAGTTGCAGCTGTGGGGTTCCCTGAGTCGGTAGGAATTGGGTGTTTTTTGAGCTGTTTTGGGGTGCCTCCGTATCTCATTGTAGGGGGTCCTTATAGCAAGGATTCACAGGGATACCCGTCTTGCTACCACGGACTCATGAGCCACCGAAGCAATGCCCGGCTGGGCAAGTTTTGAGACTCTGCTACCCACTCCGCACTACAAGAAACCCAACGAGCCAAATTCGAGTGCCCTTGCCACAAACCCTGGATGCGGGAGTTTAACAACCTGAAACAAGGGTTTGGGGTCGAGGGACTCTCAGGGCATACTACCGGCAATTATTCCGAGCCCCTCTTTTTACCAGTCTACCAACACAGATGAGGCCAGGCCCCAAATCATAGCTCATCCTCTGAGCTTCTTTCAGGTACAGGGTTTGGGGGTTTAGGGATGAGGAAGTACAGGTTTTAGGAGATACAGGCTTTTGGGGGTTCAGGGGAAAGGAGATACAGGGTTTATGGTTGACGAAGGTTTTGGGGCTTAAAGTTGGCCCCAAACCCCACCCTTGCGAAGCCTGGCAGACCCGTTGAACCGTTGAACTCAAGCCGGCAGGAGTAGCATCAAATAGTAGAGCACAAACCGTTAGTAGCACGCTATCATCAGTATTCATATAATATTTCTTATTGTTATAGGGCCACCATCTTCATATTTTGTTGTTACTCTTATACTTTGGTTATTCCTCTTCTCCATGGATGTTGCTCTTATTGACTGATGTGGGGAGTCGGCCTTCGGAAGACTCGGACGGCGCGCTGCGTGGCGAGGGCAACTCCTGAAGAGATCGGAAGTCTGTTCCAGGCTCTCTTGGACCTTAGGGTTATTTTTTCATTCTTTTTCTTGAGGGTTTAGGATTTTGGGGTTCGTGGTCTAGAGTTTTAGGGTTTGGGTTCATGATTCGCATTCGCAGAAAACGCCCGCAACACTGTGATGGCAAACAAGGGGCTATGATGAGGAACCGACAGGAACAGTAAAACTCACTACTCAGGCGTCTATAGAGCGGTTTGACAAGATCGGGGTGCCTTATATAGGAGCCCTTATAGTTGGGGTTCCTCTTACACACAGCTCCATATGAGGATCCCCTATTTCCCCCTTCAAACCCTAACTCCTAAAACCCTTAAGCCTATGTTACATGGCCTTAGAAACATCCGAGAAGCCTCTTGTTTCTCTGTGAAGTCGTGGAGCGGTGCCTGCCGGCCGGGGCTAAGGGCTAAGCGGGGCGCACTCTTTTGCGATTATTGAAAGAAGAACAGGTGCTCCTCATGGCAACGTGACAGCAAACCTTATTGCAACCCTTGATGTCATCAATCTTCGTTTATTGGTGGCTCATTTCCACATGTTTGCAGGGAGGAGTTGGAGGGAGAGAGCATGGGACGAAAAGAGAGCTCATGTCACTGGTTCTCCAACTATCACGGCTATGTTATCGCGGTTTGTCCGCCTTGATACGAAAAGAACCTTGCAGCAAGGCAAATGCCATCCTTTCTTCACAGAGCGCCCTTTCGAACAAGGCGCGAAGACCGGTGCACAATGTAGTCAAGTCAGACCACTCCCTTCCCAACTTGTATTTCAAGCTTCTGTTGAGGCAACGAAAGGCGCGTACACATCGATGACACTTGCCAAGTGGATGGCAAGCTTGTCGCACAACTTCTGATCATTGCCTGCTTCTTCGGCTGCCAGCCAGACATGCCCTAGCCAACTGTCACGTTGATCTTCTGTGAAACCTCGACCACGAATTTCTGCTGATCGCAAGGGGCAGCGCTTGGCACGCTGATGCGCCCCCTCCAGGTTGGAGAACAGGTCTCCTCGCAGCCTGGTATAATCCTTGAGGCCCGCCCATCGTCCCATCAAGGCAAGAGCCAACCGCTCTCCATGAGCTGCAGCGCTCACATTGGAGTCTTGGTGAGATACGTCAAACAACACAGACATACGAGGATCCTGGAAGAGCCGGCGGTAATGGAAGCCGAAGAGTCTCACAATACCCGCCTTGCCGCCCATGGAGCGAATCTCGACTGCTGTTGGCATCGGCTTAAAGCCCCCGAGTCCAGCTCTGTAGACGGTCCTACCTTTCCGTAAAGCTGGAGACTCTGGAAGTGGACCGGCAGCCTGCAGCCCTGGTGGAAACAAGCTCTCCGGCAAAGCCTCGGAAGTAGCTTCGATGTTGCTGTCAGGGAGAGAGCTTGGCTCCTTCGCTTCAAGCGACATGCAGAAGCCCATGGCAATCCCTGCACTCAAGGAGACGTGTTTGTGTGCAACGTTGCCCTAACGCCAGAACTCGGGCTACAAGTAAAGGCGTCTAAAGGATTTGTCGGGTCGGTGTCTGGACTAGGCAGAAGGATACTCGATCTGCAGCTGGCCCATTCGAGCCCAACTAGCGAGATGTCCCGGCGAGCCCCTGGCAGATTCTTTCACCCTTCCTGATCAGTTCCCCTACCTGAGTCTCTGATGCTCCCATCCAAAGTGTGAGTCCTAAACCCTGGAGACTACTGACGGTTTAAGGACAGAGTGAACTCGATGTTACAAGATCAGACTCCCAATACGAAGAATGCTGATAGCTTCTCTAACAGAGGTCAGGGCTTGCGTTTAAAGCTGTTTTTGGGTTGCCCACTGGAACCACATTGCAAACTCCAGGAGCAGTTTCTTCAGCTTGCCCGAAGAACACAGCAGTGCTCGGGGTTTAGGGGGTTTGGGGGTTTAGGGCTTCGGGTTTAGCCTCCCACGACGATCCCAGAAACCCAGGAATGAGGATCCTTCTGAAGTTCGGGGTACATTCCGTCAACGAAACATTTGTTGGTGGTGGCATGACCCCTCAACCCTGAAAGGAACCCTTTATAAAACAAAAAAACCTAGGTTCTGCTATCTGAGATTGAAATCCTCAACACGAGCCCAGGTGTTTCCGGAACCGCCTCCAAAGTGACGATCGAGGCGGCTCTTAGAGCGGTCTCGCACGGGACCTCGCCTTCTCCCCATGCCTTCTGGCCTCGGCTTTCGGCTTTGAGACTGCGGCTGGGATCTTAAGTTTTAGGGGGTTGAGGGTTGGGATCTTAAGTCTTAGGGTTTAGGGTTTAGGGCTTGGGGTTGAGGGTTGGGGATCTTAAGTCTTAGGGTTTAGGGTTTAGGGTTGAGGGTTGGGGATCTTAAGTCTGATAGGGCTTCGGGGACCTGAAGCCTTTGCTTTTGGGGTTCCAGGGATTGAAAAGCTTGGGGGATATGAGTCGCAGAGGTTGACAGGTCTTGATGCTTTAAGAGGCTCGCTGCATGTCTGGGCCTGCTGGCGAAACTTTTTGCCAGTTCTGGGCTTCGGGTTTAGGTAAAATAAACAGGGTGCTGCTGCCCCCCGAGCACATCCGAAGGCATCCCCGTAACTCCACAGAAACCTACCCCTCTTGCAATTTCGAATCCTCTCTAAAGGGCTCTGCAAGCCACCCGGTTCGTTCAAGCCCCTGGTCCTGCCCCGCCTCCTCCGCCGCCCGAGTTGAGTTAGCACGTCCCCTGATACTTGGAGGATCATGGGACTTAGTAAGTAAGTTTATAACTACCTTAATTGGGGTTATAATTACTTCTAAGTATAGTCACCTTATTTGTAACCTTAGTTACTAAGTCCCATGATCCTCCAAGTACAAGTCTCGGCTCCGCACAGGCTGATCCAGAAACTTCCTGGAGGCGCAGGCTGGTTGTTGCTTCAGGGCCCTCTTCTTTCCTCGGTTTGGGGTTGGGGGCTTAGGGTTTTGGGTTCAGCACTGCTCTAGACTTAACAAGGCATAAAAGCTTTTGAAAATCTGTCGGTTGAAGGAACTCAAGCCCCGAGGCTTTTGGGATTCAAAGGCTTCGGCTGCAGAGCTGCCTGGGGTCTACGGGCCAAAGCTTTCCAAAATCGAAGTCTCTCGGGTCAAAGGTTGACGGATGAAGGGCGAAGGCTCACATGACACCCTAAACCCTAAACACTAGACCCCCCAACCCCCTAAACCATTTTGGGGCCTTCGATGGTGAGTTGAAAGGGCCGACCCAGAACTCCGAGAGAGGGAGAGGCCATGGACCCAGCTCTTCACCGACAGCGCAGAAAGGAGTTAGGGGTTTAGGGTGTAGGGGAGAAAGGAGCATGAATTCATGCTCGACCCCGGCGTCGTGGCCTCGGGCGGTGCGATGGCCTCTTCGGGAAACAGCTCACGGGGGTCCACAGAACTGGGAAGAGAACCTGGATCGCGATTGATGGTCGGCACCAAGGGTTGGAGTCTGGGCCGAAAGATTGGAATTTGGGTTGCTGCATTCCTGGGGCTCACTCTTGAACGCGGAGCTAAACCTAAACAAACCAGCCCTTTGAAAAAAAAACTCATCAAAGATCCCTCACCCGCTGGGAGCACCAGGTTCCCGGAGCGACGCTGGGGACGTGTCTGCGAGCGCCTCTCACCGCAAAAATTGGTGGGGACGGCCGCTTCGAGTCGGACCGTAGGGGCCTTAATAATTAGAGTAGGGATTTTGGGAATAGGGTTCCTTCTAAGGGTTCCTTATCAGGGAGGGTGTAGTATAGGGGCCTTAATAATTAGAATAGGGTTTCGGAGTATATTATAGCTATAACTATAATCAGGAACCCCCAAAACAGTATTGATGAGTATGTAGGCCCCCATGCTACCGTCTCTGAAGCGCGGATAGGGACAAGCGTGCCCACCGAGCTGCCGAAAGGATTGAAAGATTCACTTCAGACGAGAACGGATGCCTCTGGCGACTGCACGGCCACATCCACTTGACTGGAAGCTTCGAGCTCCAAGCCTGAGCGAACTTTTAATTCGTGTCCTTGAAGTTTACACAGTTCACAATGCAAAGATACACACACATTTATGGGTGGACGTTGGCGTTACAAACTTATACTGTCCTTAAAGTTTGCAAAGTTTACAATATGCAAAGATACACAAACTTGCGGGTGGAAGTCGGCGTTACAAACTTTAGCGTCCTTGAAGTTTACAAAGTTCACAATGCAAAAATATACACATTTATGGGTGGGCGTTGGCGTTACAAACTTATACTGTCCTTCAAGATCACAAAGTCTACAATGCAAAGGTACACAAACTTATGGGTGGACATTGGCGTTACAAACTTTTGGTGTCCTTATAGCCCACAAAGCTTACAATGCAAAGATACACACTCATTTATCGGTGGACATTGGCGTTACAAACTTATACTGTCCTTAAAGTTTGCAAAGTTTACAATATGCAAAGATACACAAACTTACGGGCGGACGTTGGCGTTACAAACTCAAGCGTCCTTCAAGTTTGCACAGTCTACAATGCGAAGATACACACATTTATGGGTGGACGTTGGCGTTACAAACTTATACTGTCCTTAAAGTTTACAACATGCAAAGATACACAAACTTACTGGTGGACGTTGGCGTTACAAACATTAGTGTCCTTGAAGTTTACAAAGTTTACAATATGCAAAGATATACACATTTACGGGTGGACGTTGGCGTTACAAACTCAAGCGTCCTTCAAGTTTACACAGTCTACAATGCGAAGATACACACATTTATGGGTGGACGTTGGCGTTACAAACTTATACTGTCCTTGAAGTTTACAAAGTTTACAATGCAAAGATGCACAAACTTATGGGCGGACATTGGCGTTACAAACATATACCGTCCTTAAAGTTTGCAAAGTTTACAATATGCAAAGATACACAAACTTACGGGTGGACGTTGGCATTACGAACTTTAGTGTCCTTGAAGTTTACAAAGTTTACAATGCAAACATACACACATTTATGGGTGGACGTTGGCGTTACAAACTTATACTGTCCTTAAAGTTTGCAAAGTTTACAACATGCAAAGATAAACAAACTTACGGAAGGACGTTGGCGTTACAAACTGTTAGTGTCCTTGCAGTTTACACAGTTCACAATGCAAAGATGTACACATATTTATCGGTGGACGTTGGCGTTACAAACTTATACTGTCCTTAAAGTTTGCAAAGTTTACAATATGCAAAGATACACAAACTTACTGGTGGACGTTGGCGTTACAAACTTTAGTGTCCTTGAAGTTTACAAAGTTTACAATGCAAACATACACACATTTATGGGTGGACGTTGGCGTTACAAACTTATACTGTCCTTCAAGATCACAAAGTCTACAATGCAAAGGTACACAAACTTATGGGTGGACATTGGCGTTACAAACTTTTGGTGTCCTTATAGCCCACAAAGCTTACAATGCAAAGATACACACATTTGTGGTGGGCGTTGGCGTTACAAACTTATACCGTCCTGAGAGCTTACAAAGTTTACGATAAAAAATGCACGAAATTATGATTGGACGTTGGCGTTACAAACTGTTAGTGTCCTTGTTATAAAGTTTACAATGCAAAAAAGATACACAAACTTATGGGTGGACGCTGGCTTACAAACTCATACTGTCCTCAAGATTTACAAAGTTCACAATGCCATTTTACGCAAACTTATAGGTGGACGTTGGCGTCACAAACTTTTACTGTCCTCAAATTTTACGAAGTTGACAATGCAAAGACACACAAACTTATGGGTGGACATTGGCGTTACAAACTTTAGTGTCCTTGAAGTTGTTTACAATGCAAACATACACACATTCATGGGTGGACGTTGGCGCTACAAACTTACAGGGCCTTTAAAGTTTACAAAGTTTACAATACAAAGATATTGGTGTTACAGACATATAGAGTCCTTGAGGTTTACAAAAGTTTGACAATACAAGGATACACAAACTTATGGGTGGACGTTGGCTTTACCAACTTGTATTGTCTCAGGAATATCTAAAACCTTGACACAGATTCTCCTTGTTGTGCACACAAGCCATCTCTCACAAGCAGGGGCCTCACACGCATCTGCAACCCCAAACCCAAAACCCTAAACCCTAAACCCCAAACTCTTTTTTCAAAGCGCAGTTGCTGAAAAACTCCCCCGCTCTCGCCGGGTCTCGGGCCCTCGCCCGGCAAAGGCACCGTTTGCGGGAGCGGGACCGGGGCCGCCGGTTCCTGGTAAAGGGGTCCCACTAAGGCTACTATAAGGGACCTTTAAGGGTTTGGGGTTTAGGGTTTCAAGAGATTTCAAAACCCCGTAGTCAAGGAATAGATTGATGAAAATATAATGGGATCCCCAATATGATTTAAGATATATTCCCTAGTGAAGGGGTTTTGGGGTCTCTGGGAAGCATCAGGCCCTTCTGAAGACGGCCGCAGGACTTCGGGTTCGGCTCGCAGGCACGAACTTGTCTGGTGCCTTTCCAGAACCTTAGCTTAGTTGCGTGGATTGTGCACGAGAAGACTCCATTTGATGATTTGGGTAGTCAGTTTCTAGCTCTAAAGTTTTCTGTTCAAACCTTCCGAAACTCCTGCGGCGGCCCCCCAACCGTTCAGCAAGCGAGTCGCGAATTGTAGAGAGCACAAGCCGCCAAAGGCCAGTCCAACGGTAGACAGCCCGGGCCCGCCCTTAGCATGCGCTACAAACCCCCTTGAAGGAAACACCCAAACAAACCATGAGAAAGGCCATCTGACTTGAACTCGAGAAATCCGCGAGACCTGTGCAGACTGGGGGAAGACGACGACGAGGAGTGGCGGGGTCGACGCGGAGCCTGCAAGTCTCCCCTTAGGGCCCCTTTCAGGGCCTTGGAGTTTAGGGTTGGGGAAACCTCAAACCCTGAACCCGTACTAAACCAAGGCTTATAAGGTTTGAAGTTCCTTTTTTGAGGGCTCTTTCGGCGTCTGCCGCTCTGATTCGAAATTTGTCGAGACAGTGTTGAGGGATTCGGCCCTAAACCCTAAACCCTAAACCATTAAATCCTAAACCCCTAAACCCCTAAACCCTAAACCGTGAGGTTTGGGAGGGTGGGGATCTCGAGGCGGGAGATCGCCCGACAGCGAGCCTCTGGGTCCGTGTTGAAGGGCTTAATTGAAGCTCTCATAGCCGGATCAGGAAAGTCGATCATCTGCCCATGTGCCATATATCCGTTGTTTGCAAACTGTATTGAGTTTCTAGCTTCCAGAAAACCAATGGTCGGGGGGGAGAGGATGGGCAGGAAGCAACCAACAGACAAAGCCCTTACCCGTCTTGGAAGCTTCGATGCAATTGTCTCTACCCCTGCCACACCATGCACAAACCTGCTGACGCCTTGATACAAAAACATCTCAACTCCCAGTAAGAGCCAAGCTGAAGTCGCATAAGAAGAAGAAGGTAACAGTGGAGTGTCGAAATACTGTTGACGCCGGTTTCCACGCGAAAAGGCCGTCACGAAGACCCTCTCGCTCTCGCTCTCGCTCGCTCGCTCTTCTTCTGCTTCTCCGGGGCATAGGGAGCGTGTCAGGCCCCCCGCAC